ATATATATATATATATATATATATATATATATATATATATAATACGTACGCGCAGTTTCCTTTCAGGCTTTTAGGTGCTCGGGATATGAATTTGGTCGTATGAGTGGAAACTTGCGAAATGTGAATTTTCATTTCGGTTATTAGTCAGTACATTTTAGCATTATTAATATCATCCTTTGTTGAAGAGTTTGATGTATTCTCTGGCAGCCAAGTACTTGACTTGGTTTACAAAACTAGTGCTAAATATGTGATGATGGACATTGCTGTTGTTATAAGTGAAAAGTTGAATAAATTTGTAGGTCTACAAATTACAAAACCAGTGAGAGATCGGTGATGATGGCATTGTTGTTATGAGTGAAAAATGGAATAAATTGTGGACTTAAAACTAGCTGATTAGCTTTATTACCACCTGTTTTTCGGAGGTTTCGACCCCAACTGTGACTGCAGAGATAACAAAATCTGTGTGAAATCTGATTTCATTCTTGTTGTAAAAGTGGAACAAATTATGGACTTGAAACTAGTTGATTACCACATGTTTTTCTGAAAGTTTGACCTGCAAATCACAAAACTTGTGAGAAATCTGTGATGATTGCATTCTTGTTATGAGTGAAAACTGGAACAAATTATGGACTTTAAAACTAGCCGACTAGCTTTAGTACCATCTGTTTAAACCTGCCAACTGCACTGCAGTCACCGGTAGGTTTGACAATAAGCCCTGTTTGCCTACGTAGAGTACCCACCCTACTAAAAACCCAGAAATATGATGCCAACAAAAAATCAGATGAAAAAACTTAAGAACAGATATTAACAAAAAAAATTTTATTTTTTCCTTTTTTGCCAGCAAGATTCATAACAAAATACTTACCCAATGATACATACATACACAGACATCAATCATATGAACACAAAAACCAATCTGCATATAGGCTATATAACCCCCTACCAAACACCCCCAACAAAACAACACAAACGAAACCAACCCACACACACACACACACACACACACACACGTCAATAATCAATAATCACTAATCAATAATATAACATAACCATACTCCTCCTATACCAGCCAGTCAATCAATAATATCACTTATCCTCCTCTGCCGTGAAATCCGGCTCGGCCGGCTTCTGCAGCAGCATTGCCGGCATCCTCTCCTGCCCCACCGCCGCCCTCACCTTCCTCCCTCCACTCCTCTTCAGCCCCCTCAGCGCATTCGCCGCAAACCTCGACGCATATATCGCCGCCCCAAAACTCATCGGCCCCCCTCCACTCGACCCGTCCCTCGCCAGCGCATCCCTCAGCCTCCCTTCCTCCTCCCTCAGCAACGCCTCCTCCGCCTTCCGCCGCCAGTACCTCCTCCACGCCGCCTGTATGAAGCACGCCGCCCAAGTCCTCCACTGCTGCGAGTAGAATCTGAACGTGTGCCGAAGCTGCTTGCTGTGCAGCCTCCGGAACTGCGAGGCCACGAACTTCAGGTCGTGGGCCATCAGGGCAAAGGCCTCCACTTCTGAAAGTGCCTGGACTGTTCGGGTAGATGTCGGAAGGTTGGTGGAGGAGTTTGGGTCGAGGGCCCACGTCAAGAGCTCCTCCCCGCAGAAGTCGCCGGGCCTGAGATGGTCCGAGTTGAAGAAGCCCGTTCGCCCACCGTTGGTCGTCACTGTCAGCAAACGGCCACGCATCACGAAAAGCATCTCGTCTACTGGGTCGCCTTCTCGAACGATGTAGCTGCCTTCCGTGTACAAAACGGGCCTTAACCGGTCGCAGAGCGCGTCCAGCAGCTGCTCGTCCATCTTCTCAAACATCGGCACCTGAAAATGAAGATAAAAATTGGATCTTGATTTGGGTTTTTTTGATATTGGGTTTGGGGAGAGGAGGAGAAAAAAGAAACTAACTCGCTTGAGTAAAGCTAAACAGAGATGTCGTTTTATGTCTCGTCTGAGATCCTTTGGGAGATTGCGGATAAGGTTCTCTTCGTCGACGCCTCGAGTTTCCTGCCATTTGTACTGCTCGTACCTTCTTATCCGCTCCCTCAAGCTGTCGGGGAGAAGGCGGTGGGACATCCATTGCTCGGCGTCTCGTTTTTTGACCCTCATCTCTTCGAGTCTCAGTGTTGTGGACTGAAGGTATGTCTGTTGCGCAACGTTACCAAATTAAATAAACGATGAGTAAAGATTGCCGTTTGTTACCTCTATTATAGTCGGAATGTAAATATAAAAAGGAAAAAGAAAATAAGAAGGTTAAATTAAATAGAACACCAACAAGGCACTCACTTGCATATTTCCGATCAGAAACGAAAACAGCACCAAGCCCGCGATTGATATGAAAACCGCAAAGCAAATTTCCCAAACGTAGGTACTTGTTTTAAGGTTCTGGCCAAGGGAACTGCCCATAATACAAGATTTAAATTCACATAACAAATTAGGTGCATGCATGAGTAGTAGTTAGTGCTTGAGCACATAAGCACAATAAATCTCATAGGACATATATATACCTCAAATTCTGTAGGCCCCACCAGAAACAATAGAAGAATTTCTGGGGGAAATCTTCTGATTCAACAATACCAGATTGAAGGGCCTCGAGGAATATCCCAAAGTCGAAAAGAGCAGCATTTTCGTTTTGGATAGGGCATGAGTTGTTCAAAATCTGTACGAATCTCGTGTGGTCACCATGGCAATAAAAAGAGGCTTCTCTACATGCAGTTTGGTTCCCACAAGCTCTCTCCCAACAAATCGTCTCGCGTTCTATTGAGAACAAGTACCAAAAGGCTCCAAGCACCTAACAGATGACCAAAACCCAGTCATCACTATTTAACAAAGTGCAGTTGAACAATTAAGCTAGGGAAAAAAAGAGTACATGGCTGGCAAGCATGTAGAGGAAAAGATTGAATGCAGCCCCTGCCCATGCTGTTTCGGTGAGTATGCCGGAAGTTCTTGTGACTTCTCTATATAAAGGATAGACTCGGAGAACCCTCGGTATATACTGAATGATCACCGCAAATTTTAACAGATTCTTCGTGTTCAAAGACCTTGCGCCTTTCAACTTGGGTATGATGATGAGAATCACAGTCTGAGATAGTCAGAAGATGGTCATATTTAGAATTATGCTCTAATAAAACAAGAATCTTAATTGGAAACTAATTGTATTATTGATAATCAACTTATTGAAGGCCAATAATTATCTTTCTTATGCCTACTGATACACAACTAAATTCATCATCACATTTTCATCCCCCTGTCACCAAAATCATGCTCCAAAATTCTTTGAGATTTATTCCATCACAATTCACTATGGAAATAAGAAGTTTCAAAATAAAAACAAATGCAATAGTGGCCACGTCATATTTTGGTCGCAATCATAAGTTAAATACAACCACCACCTTACAATGATCATGCAAAAGACCTCACTTACCTGTGGAAGAGGAAGAACTGCAAGAATGTCGATTATAAAATAAGACGACAAATATCTCTTTGCAATAGCCCATGAATCCTGAACCAGGACGCCTCTCCCAAACACACGCGAAGAGGGTGCAATGAACCCCGTCCGGAACTGGAAAATAATATGTATGAGGTAGAATATATCCGTAATTGATCTCAACACACAAGCGGCAATTTCCAACTTCTTGTCCAAATCGAGGCACTTCTTTCCATCGTTAATGATTGGAATGTAAAAGAACAAGGGATCCAAAGAGACGGCAATCATGCACGACAGTACGAAAATTTTATTCCATTTTTGCAGAAATGGTCCCTGAGGATCAAGAATTTTTGTCTCAGACCCCTCGTCATCCGCCAGGGACTTGGACTTTCCTCGAGATAAGAATCTTAAGGAGCCAGTGAACCTCTTTATCCTTTCCGACCCAGAATCTAATCCTCGATGAAATTTGTCTGAAATCGAGTATACTGCTAACTTGAGCCTGGATAGTTGCAGTGCGCCGCTTGACGGGGATTGATCATTAAAGCTTTTTTCCGACCCCCAATCTTGAAACCTGAAAGGCGAGCGATATGTAAGAGAACATACGAAATAGACGTATAGATAATAAAGGAGATGGGAAGTATCTCGAACTAACCGCACAAACTTCTCACGGTGGAATGTCATAACTCCAGCTTACATGGGAACAGAGGCAAAACCTGATATACAGAATAGAGAAACACAAGCAACACCAGGATTTGCTGAAGATTACAGCCTGAAACAAATTAGGTCCTTAGGTTAAATTGAAAGCACAAACTCAACTGTTGGCAAGATTTAACGGAGAACAGTATTTGCCTGGTCGGAGTTTAACACAAACAAAAGTAAAGTTCCCAATTTTGTTAAGGAAAAGAAAAACATTCACTCCAAGTCTGTAACTAATAAAATTCGTTCGGCGTTGATGAATGTGAAAGTCCAGACCTCTCTCTCTTTTCCTAATCAACATATCAAGGGCTTTTGCCACTTACCTGAATTCACTTTTTCATAACCAACACACTCTGATATTGCAACTAAATTGTAGCATTCACATTTCAAACCTCACCTTTTTCTTAAATTCAGAAATTTTCATCAACAATCTTCATGATTTGCACCATTATCCATCAAAGCAGACACCTTTTTACTCAAAACCCTTCTCAGAATCAAAACAAGATAGATAGATGGGGAGGGGAAGAGAGAGAGAGAAAGAGGAAGCAAAAAAAATGGTAAAATGGAAACTTTGTAAAGTCACACACATTCACAAACCCCTCCCACCACAATAATCAACCAAAACAATTCAAAAGGCAAAAACAACAAAAAACAAAACCAAAAGACTCTTGAAGCAGAACTAACAGTCACAAATTTCTGCTCCGATTACCTCAACACTTCAAACCCATCAAATCAGAAACTGGAAAATTGAACAGAAAACTAAAATTAAACAAAATACTCATCCATAGCGAGGTTATCAGTTACAAAGATCAGCCCACGACTCGTACTACTCTGTGCGTGTGAAGAAGAAGAATGAGAAAGTAGTTACAAAAGGCGAAGCTTCTCGGTGACTTCCTCTGCTCTTGGACCGGTTCCAACTTTTTTTTCTTCAGTTTAATTTTAATTTTGTCTGCAACTTAATAAAATCTTGCGATCTTGCAGTTAAGACTTTCTTAGATAGAGAAAAGGAAAACCGTTTTGTGTGAGAGGAGTTAATTATTACACCACTAATATTTTTTAACAAAAACACTATATATTATAAGATACTATAATACTTTTATTTATATTCTTTTTTAATTATGAATTTGAAATTAAGTGACATATTCATCTAATCGTTAAATCTATTTAACAGTAGCATTATCGACCCCCTATATATGATTAAATACAAATTTTTTAGTGAAACAACATAACTATTAGATTGATTGACCTGTCACACCATTTAAAATAAAAATACATAATTATATTATCATATTTTTATTTATATTAACTTTTAAAGTATAATATTTTTGAACGAAAACATTCATATTTGTAAAAAGAATATGTAGACTTGAGGTGACTAACACAATATTTTTTTTTTTCTAAATAAATGATATTTTCTTTTAATTTAGACAATTGAATGTATTTTTTGTACAGGCTTTATAAAACAAAATTTGCGTAATAGGATTTTGGTTCATTAGCAAACTAAAAATGGTCCAAATTTAATACTTACTTTCTAAAATTGATAAAACTGATTTAAATGTTTAATTAAATTATGTTGACCATATTTTGTGTGTACAGTTCAGATGAAGGGGAAGCCGGCAGGTCGTTGGGTGGGACCCATTCCAAATGGGTTTGACTTTTTCTCTCCCGTTGTCTTGTTGTGCAGTGCTTGCATTTTCCAAAGAATGTTTAATATGTAGTTTTTATTTGAATTTTCGTGAAAAAAAAATATTATTGTAGTAAATCAAGTTTGAACATGAATTTAAATAAAATAGTTTGGTTTGTTACACATTTAAGGGGGTGCAGTTTCATTTTATCTGGTGTGAGTGGAGAATTTGTGAAATAAATATTTTTTTATTGGTAGATTGATGATTATGTGTGAGACAATGTACATGTGATATCTTTGCAACTTTCCAGAATGTGGTTCCTCAATTTATATACTTAATATTAGAAAGAAATTTAAGTTTGCAAAATCAATAACTATGATATAATTTATCAATTTTATCTATACCCATAATGGCATGAGGCACATGACCTAGAGTTTTTTCTTCCTTTTTCCCTTTCAATGTAACTGCGAACTTCATGTTTTTCAGCATTAAAGGTTCAATAATATTTTTAATTTCTCTTCTTTCTAATTTCTACCTCTCAACAATTGGTTGAATTTTGACCTCCCCGTGAGGTCAAAGCTTTGTGTTACATCATGTGAAAGTCAAATGCAATTTTATCATTTATGGTGTATCTTTTTGCTGCATATTGTCACTTAATTAAATTGGCAGTATTTTATAATCAAGCAAAGCCAAGCCCTATATAGCAATGTTTTGCTGCAGATTGTCACTTTTTATAAGAGGCAAATGAGAAGTGTGATGAGGCAAATTGTTAGCATGCAAATTTGAATTACTATCTTCAACAAATTGTTGAACAAGCAGAGAACGAAGTGACCATGAATGTCTAGAAAGAGAATAAACATAAATTAAACGAGGAGAATAAAACAAGAAATACAAGAAAAATGAATTAAAAGAGGAAAAGAAAACAAGAAAGAGAATAAACAAATAAGAGTCAAAATGGATTATGAATTATGGGATGAGAATGAGAGTCAATTAGAAAGGAAAAACAAAAAACCGAAAGTGAATACAAATGAAGAAAATTACTTGTTTGTAGAGTTTTTGGTGGAGGGAACCAACCTCAAATGGTCCTCGGGTCACCACTTAATATTGAGTTGTGTGGAATTGTAGAGATCTTTGAGTACCCTCTACAATTTCTCCAATTAAAGGAGTCTTGTAGACTCTATTCTCAAGATTTTTTTTTATTTTTTTTTATTATTTTTTTATTTTATTTTTTTTTTGTGCGAAACAAAAAATAAAAAAATGTTTTGGTTGAACGGTTTTCTCTGAAAGTTATAAAAAAAGTTATAAAATATGATTTAATTTCAATATCTCTACCAAATCTAGAAAAAATTTGTGTCATGCATGACATCTAAAATTCCTCATATGTACAAAACGGTGATAGTACTTGTTGGATAAAAGGTTCATATTATACCTCTTAAATTACAAATTAAAAGTTAAGTTTAGCCTTGTTAACATTTAAAAAGTACTTTAGAAATATTTTAATAAACAATATATAACATTAAAAAAATACTTCATAATTTTTTTAGTAAATGAATATAAAATATTAATGTATCTAACTATATTATTGTTAATCATGTTATGATTACTAAAATTAAATTACATATAACATTAAAAGTAATATAAATAATGAGAATGGAGAAAAAATATTCATATAATAAAATGTAGCGTGACTGATTGAAAAATATATTTATTTATTCATTAATGAATTTTGTATTAGAGTAAACTCCATACTAAAATAGATGTACAAGTTGAAGATAGTGCAATCAATCACTATTTTTTTTTAGATCTTTAAATAAAAACTAGTACAACACCCGTGTCTTACACGGGTGTTTATTAAAAAATTATTCTTAAATTTTAAAATTAATGATAAAAATTATTTTAAATTTTATTTACTTTTTTACAAATGATATATATTATTATATATTTTAGAATGACATTTGTTACTTGTTCGACTTACATGTGTTATATATAGTAATTTTTATAACTTATATCATATAACTACTTGAAATATAAATATATTAAATGCTAAATAATTTTATTTTTCTAATCAATATTTAAAAATAGGTTTATTATTGTTATAAAGATAAACTAGTACAATGCACGTGTATTACACGAGTGTTGAATTAAGAAACATATGTAAAAAATATTAAATATTTTATTTTATAGAAATTCTTTAAACCTAAACTAATTTAATTTTATATAAAACATTACTTTGAGTTTTAATTAAATTGTCAGACTATATTTTTTTAATCATAATAGTTAAAAACACCCTTGTATTAAATGAAAATGTCAACTCATATTGAATTTTTTTACTTATATCATATAATAATATCAATATTATTTACTATTACACGTGTACAAAAATATATATCTTAAATAAATAGAAACTAGTGCATGGCCCGTGCGATGCACGAACCAACAACATTACGATTGTATTATAAACTAAATATGTAAGAAACATTAATCATGAGTTACCTATTATTTTTAAATTAAACCGGGTTGGACACAGTCCGATTGGATGGACCGGGAACCGATTTATAACCAGTCTAGTTCGCTTGAATAAAATATTTGCTATCAAATCCTTCAACACCGATCGGTTGGACTGGTAGGATCGATACAATTTTCTAAATAGATTTTGCTACATTTAAAATTATTTTACATATTTACATATTTAAATAAAATACAGATTTATAAACTTTTATCAATTAGTTTAAACATTTGAATTTATAAATTGTTTATATATTTAAGTAATTATAAAATATTAAAATATTTATAAATTAAAATCTAGACAAACCACAAATGATATAATAAAATAACTTTGATTGTTTTGATGAGGGTCCGATTCTAAAAACCTTATATTTATAGTATATTAACAAAATTATAATAAAATATTATTTTATTTACATAAATATTAATAAAATGATATACATATCACCATATAAAATAGATAGATAATATGGTGATATGTATATGCATACGTGATTCACAGTTTTCTATCTTTATATGTAATTTTAGAATTTAGATAAATAATTATTTATTTTTAATAGATTGATGACATACCAGTTAGATTTGAAATAAATAGCATTTCCAGAAGAATAGTATCATATTGTTTCATCTTCGAAATGAGTAAAATATGATTATTGGAAGGAACGGTTGAGAAAAACACTAATATGATTGATTTACTTAAGATATGTAACAGAAAAAAAAAAATATTAAGGTAACTGTGGAATAAAAAAATTATGGAATGGAATAAGTAATAATTGTTTTAATAAAGAAAAATGTTAATATATTATAGAAATAATCATGTCTAATTGACATTTGACATGATACCTAAGCTTAATTATATATGAATCCAAAGCGTAGAATTATGAATAGGATCCAGAAACACGCGAGCATGCCACTTAGCTCACCACATCGGGAATTATATATAGGGGCTTTATGAAGTATAATAATTATTTATATTATTTTGATTATCACGTTTTTTTAAAGATTATTATAATGGTCAATCTCTTTTTATTCTATATGTACGTTGAGATATAAACTTTTAGAATATTTATTTATATTAATTTGATGTTCATACTTAATTATATATTTTTTTCCAAATTAAATAATTATTTTATGGCATGTTGACATACATAAATTTCTATTACTTTATAATATAATTCATAGTCTTATTTGATGATTTTCAATTTAGTTTGATATATATTACTATTTTGTATTGTATATATATAAAAGATATGGATGTCAAATCGAAAATCATTAAAAGATAGTTAATTTGATAAATCATATATGAAAAATAAAATACAAACAAAAAAGTTCTAAATCTAAAAACAAGAAGAAGAAACATATATAATAATTAATGTATGAATTAAATAAGAAAATATAATATAATGTATGTTAATGTAAGAATAGTAAAAGTAAATAATAAAACAATTATTCATGGATTTTTATGGATAATATAGACAATACATGAAATTCAAGTTTAATTATTTTCTATAAAAAATATTAATTTATATCCAAGCCCAACTTCGAAGTATGATATTTTGCCAAATAGGAATCCTAAGTGTGAGAGTTTGGCACGTAGGCTCACGCATTTTGAAATTATATATAGGGAAAAAATATAATTTATTCTTTTTATACATACAATATGGATGTTAAATCGAAACTCATCAAGAGATGATTAATTTGATATATTATATATGTAAAAATGATAAAAAAATATAAAAGTTATGAACTTTTAAAATATATTTAGAATTCAATGCTTATAATAAGAAATGATATTAAAAAACAATTAATACATGTAACATGACCATCAATAATAACATATTTATGGATAATCTGGACTTATTTATTTTTAGAGGGTAAGTAAATTAAAATATGCCCCAACCTAATAATGAATCATGTAATTTTGCCACATAGGATCTCGTAGCATGCGAACCACGTTTTGAATTAATATCTAGGGGATATTAAATATTGAAAAGTAACTATGGTTAAGCTAAATACAACACTTGCCATAGTTGATTCAAACTATAGTTAAGGTAGCCAAAACTTTGGTTAAAATCTAAGAAAATGAAAACCCTACTCCACATTTTCAATTTGAGATATTTGTGGGCATTTCAAGAGTTCTTCTTCCTCTTTTGGGGACTTTGACTAAAAACTTCTGCAGCCCAATTTCAATTTGGTGGGAAAATCAAGAGAAATCGAAAAAAGAGAAAGGACCGACAAAATTTCAAGCCCGCGTGGTTCGAATTTCAAAATCGCAGGGTAAGTTTTATTTTATTTTTTATCATCTTCTAATTTAATTTACTGAATTCGATCGCAAAAGCTTAATTTATGAATGCTGAATCTAGGGTTCCTGAACAGCGTGAATGTGATTTTTAGCGTTGAGATTTTGTATTGTACCTTTCAAATCGTGTCAGATCCGTTTCCGGTTATCGTTCTTTGTTGCTATCAGATTTGAAAAGGTTTATTTCCGATTTGTAGATTTTTTTTTTGCCATTTTTGGTACTTCCTGTGCTGTTCCAAGTGTCCCTGTGCGTGTTTGCAATTTGTTATTATCAATTTAATGGTGCTTTTGATTAAGTTTATGATGTCATAAGGATAAGGGCTTTAGCCACTTCCAAAGAAAGGAAGATAAGGGCTTTTTGCTCCATAATAGCTGATGTAATGGGTTTTTCTACTTTTGCCGCTCGTGGTTTTCTCTATCTTTTCCACCAGTTTCATCGTTTTATTTTGAAGGAAGTTTTTTTGTGCTTGCTTAAACAACTGCTGTTTGATAACTTCTATAACTGAGGGATTCGTTGTTTCTCAAACACTTCTTATCCCATATTCTGAATGTGACTTTGTTGAATTTGGAGGAATTCAGTATGTGTCATTTTTTAATCTTGCCGAATTCAAGATGGGGTGTTTTCTTTTTTCTACCTGCGGGCGGGACTGTGTTTCTGGTGATTTTGTTTGCAGATGTTATAAGTATCACTGAAGGTGGTGGTGGACGTGCATATGATTTTTGAAATTTTCATGTTTCAATATAAATTTTCACGTTAGTTCAAGTGCTAAGTATGGCAAGTCTTTGTGCTGGCTCCATGCCAGTTGCAGGGATTTGTCATTTTGGTCATTTCGCTTTGCTTCATTTCTTCTAGTGATAAGCTCGGTATCAATTTTATGATTGAGCTAAAAATAATGATTTGATGAACATTTTTCCTTTTGTTATGGATCTTGTGGGCTTGAGGCCGTGATCCGTTTATTTGGTTCATGTCTTTAGTGGTGTTTTTGTCGGTGTTCTTGCTGCCGTTGGATGCTTAATAGTTAATACTTGTAAATTTTCAGTTTCTAGACATTAATTTCATCAAGGTTTATTGGGATACTCAAAGCTTGTACTGGTTTATAATTACCACTTCCCTTTTGTCTCAACAAATTATCATACGTGATCTTGAATATTTACAATATTTATTTTACCATGAAATAGGTATTTGAAAGCTCAAGATACACAAGAAACTCTTCTGCGCCTGCCCTAAACAGGCTGCACCCAGTAACATCAACTCCAACAACACTCCAAGTCCAGCCCACGTAGCCAAAAAAATAAAAATAATGGAATGCAACAGAGATGAAGCCCTCCGGGCAAAGTCGATCGCGGAGGACAAATTAGATAACAAAGACTTCACAGGTGCCAAAAAATTTGCCCTAAAGGCTAAGACCTTATACCCGGGGCTTGACGGCATCACCCAAATCCTAACCACACTCGACGTCTATTTATCTGCCGAGAACAAAATAAGCGGGGAGACCGACTGGTATGGGCTCCTCAATGTGAGCCCATCGGCTGATGATGAAACAATAAGAAAGCAGTACCGTAAATTGGCCCTTATGCTCCATCCCGATAAAAACAAGTCTGTTGGTGCAGAGGGTGCTTTCAAGCTCATTTCTGAGGCCTGGAGCTTGTTATCTGATAAGGTTAAGAGATTGGCTTACAATCAGAGGAGGAGCTCCAGAGCACTCCAGACCAAGGTCCAGATGCAAACTGGTGGGCCATCATCTGCCCCTCCAAGGGCAAACGGATTCTTTAACTTTGGAAACAAGTCTACAACTGTTCATAAATCTCAGAACAATGTTTCAAAGCCAAAGCCATCCCCTACACAGAGTCCTGCCCCGCCAAATCCTAGGCGTGATACTTTCTGGACCATCTGTCTTAGGTGTAAAATGCATTATGAGTATCTCAAGGTATACCTCAACCATACTCTCCTCTGCCCCAACTGCAACGAGGCCTTTGTGGCGTCCGAGACGGCCCCGCCTTATAATTTCTCTAAACCGTCCAGTCAGCCCCCGCCACATCAGCAGCATAATGCTCCGCCAAGCAATCACTCCCATGCCCCTCCCGTTCGTAACAATGCTTGTGATCCTGAAAAAAATATCCCCCCTCCAAAAAAATTTCCCCCTGTTCAGAAATCAGGCCAACCTGGCACGAAGTCATTTGTATTCACTCAGCAGCAGCAGGATTTAAGAAAAAATTTTCCCGCTGCTCAAAAGTCAGGCCCACCTGGCACGAACTCGTTCGGATTCACTCAGCAGCAGAAGCAGGATTTACGTCCTGGAAAAGCCAACGTTGGCCTCACAGACCCCACCATAGCTGCGAAAGCAGCCAGCGTTGTTCAGCAGGCGCAGGAGAGGGTGAAGAGAGGGTATAACGAGCTGCATGGGCCCATGGGGTGGGAGGGGTTTCTCAAAAAGACAAAGTTAGATGAGAGTAGTAGCAGCAGCAGGCTCGGGACGAACAACAACACAGCACCAGGATCAAATTTTTACGGGTTTACCGGGATTAACCATCAGGTGAACCGAAATCGGGATCTGACGGTCACTGAAACCCGTACTTTGCTGATCGCAAAGGCCCGGAAGGAGCTTCTGACAACGCTAAAGTGGTTAGAGGCAGAAACGAAGCCCGTGTATAAAGAGAATGACACGGGTAAAGAGAGCAAGAGGCAGAGATGCGAAGAAACACCAAACGATAAGGAACATGACGAAAACGGGGGCGCCACGGCCGCATCCATGAGCGTTCCCGACCCTGATTTTCACGACTTTGACCACGACAGGTCAGAAGGCTCGTTCGGGGACAACGAGGTTTGGGCTGCTTATGACGACGACGACGGAATGCCCCGTTTCTATGCCCTGGTCAGCAAAGTGGTTTCGCGGGGCCCGTTTAAATTGAGGATCAGCTGGCTGAATTCGAAAACCACGACTGAATTCAGGTCCTGTGACTGGGTGGGGTCAGGGTTTTACAAGACGTGTGGGGAATTCAGGGTGGGAAGGTATGAGATCTGCAAATCCATAAACTCTTTCTCCCAGAGGGTGAGCTGGTCTAAAGGCCCGCGTGGGAGCATCCTGATACTGCCTCGAAAGGGGGACGTGTGGGCACTCTACAAGAACTGGTCGTCCGACTGGGACGAAAATACCCCTGATGAGGTTATACATAAATACGATATGGTGACCGTGCTCGATGATTATAACGAGGAGAAAGGCACGAGTGTGGCTCCACTGGTGAAGGTGGCCGGTTTCAAGACGGTATTTCGTCCGGATTCACGCCACGAGATGATCAGGAGAATTCCTAGGGAAGAGATGCTTCGATTTTCTCATCGGGTTCCCTACCACTTGCTAACCGGCTTAGAAGGTGCAAATGCGCCAAAAGGGTGCTTGGAGCTTGATCCAGCAGCTACACCTTTGGAACTTCTTCAGGTTGTTACGGGAAGTAATGAATGAGGTTTTAGAAATTTGAGATCTGTCTCGTTTGGTTAAATGGTGCTCAGGAGGTGCATACGTGTATCTATATGTACACACAGTCGAGAGCCCGTTTAGGCAGGAGACTATGGATTTCTGAACGTTAATTAACCGGACCTAAGATGTGGCTGCTATTGGGAGTATCGGCATTTTGATGGATGCTATGTTTAAATTTTGCGATCTTGATGTTTTCGGGTTTCTTTCAAGTTTTAACATGGGTTTTGGGTGTAGATTGAATTTACAGACGAGATGATGAGAAAATGGTGCACTGTGTTATTCCAGCTAGAGCCAAGAGATTTGCTCCAACGGCTGGAGAAAAGGTGATCTTAATTTGTAAGGTATAGAGTTTTGTGGTTTTATTTGTTTATTTTTCTTTAATTCTGCTTCGGATAACATATGAACTCTTTTTGTTTTGGCTACTATATATGATTATTTATATAGATTTTGATGGTGTTTTAGTTTTTTCGCCCTCAGTTGAAATGTATATTTCATGGTAGAAATCTTTTGGCTGTTGTATTGGTGTTTATGTTGTTGAATTGCATTGTGAGTTCTCGTGTTTTATGGAAGCTGCAGCCTGCAGGGCACTTCAAACCATTTGTCTATATCATTGTCCTTTTCCCAGGGAGAAATTATTCAATTTATATAATACATAAATAATATGGAACAGTTTTATTTGCATTTTGCAATATACGTGTTTCGCGTGAATTTGGTTTCTTCTGCTGAAATATATACTTTACTCGTTGGAAATTGCAACTTGTAATACAAATAAATTCAAGATTTTTAAGACGCTTTGAGATTTTAATTTTTTTTTGGTGTATTTCATTTGGATTTTTTTTGGTGGTTGGTTATGAATTCAATCAGTTTTGGTTGAATTTGATTGGTTAAACTGATTTAAAGAAATATTTTGAAGTGGATATGATGTGTGAGGATGATAGACTAATATTATTTAATTTACTGATAATATCAAGGAGAGTTGAGTTTAATTGAATTTTAAGTTAGAAGATTAAAAATAAAATAACTCAATCAATTAAAACTATTGGTATAAAACTTCAAAGCTTCATCCTTCCGTGGATTTTTCGACTCCTTTGTTTTTAGACCTAACGAGCCCTAAGAACATGTTTGTTTATAAAATTTTTTTGTTTTGTTTGGATTTTTTAGTTTGGTTTGGTTAATTTTGAAAAAGGTAGTATGTTTAGTTGTTAGTGGGTATATTAAAATAATATTTATAATAAAATAATTAAAATTGATTCGATGTAAAAGTAAAAGAGAGAGATATGAAGTGATGGTTCGTTAAAATAATTTGAGTGTATGAATAGTGAATTAAGGTTAATGTGGTGCGTATGAATGAATGATTGATATTATTTAATTATATTGATAATTTTAATGATAGTGGGATTGAGTTAAAAAAAGTGGTTGAGTTAAAATATTGGAAATTTTTTGATAATTTCTTATAAACAAACATGCTCTAAGTATCTTAAAAAATTTAGAGCCCATATTATATAAATAATATCGAACCACAGACCTTCGAATTTATGATTTAATTCAAATAATAAAAAAAAAATCTTAAGAAGATTTGAATTTTAAATTTTTTACAAAATTGTTCACAGTCACCACCGAAAGATGTTAAAAAATTCAGTAAAATGAAATAAAAGTATAAACAAGACCCGGATTTAAATTTTTTTAAATGTCATTGAAATTTGAAAGTGACCAGTGTAAACCCCTTAGTTATAGTTGTTACTAGTAGTAAGTGCCAACAACTGAATTATTATATATTATAGGCTTAATTGTAAATAAAATCATGATTTTTTCGAAAATTGTAATTATATGCATCACTTTTAAACCTGACAAATACATCACTTTTACAATTTTTTGCAATTGTATGCATCAGGTTCAATTTCGGGCTTTTATTGCTGACGTGGAGATATGGCTATATTGATATGGCGCTGACATGGGGATAAAGAATAAGCTTAATTGTAAATAAAAACGTGACCTTTTCCAAAATTGCAATTTTATGCATCACTTTTAAACTTGACAAATATATAAAATTATGACCTTTTCAAAAAATAAAACAAGGCTAAGGTTCGAACCTATGCCCTTGTGATTTTAAATTGGCTCCATTACCACTACACCAATACAACTTATATGACTAATTCAAAAGCATTTAATATATATAGACATAATGTAATTATAAGCAAATTAAATTTAAAAGATAATATAATTTTTTAATAATATTAGTAAAATATAAATTTATAATAATTAAAACATAATAAAATAAATTGTATATAGTAAATGAAAAAATAAATTAAAATAAAATAAGATAAAATTTATTACAGTAAAGTGCATTAAAATTAAATTGCATTTAAATATATTTATATATTTCTTATTTTATTAAAATAAAACTAGTTTTATAAATTTGAAAATGAAAAATAATAATGATAAAATTAAATTAAAAAATAATCTAGATTAAAGTACACCAGTTAAAATAAAATCAAAATAATATAATATTATTAAATAAAGTATAAAAAATGGTAAATTAAAATAAAATAAATCAAATAACTTATTATGAAATAATATATTAAAATAAATAAAAATCGTAAATTAAAATAATAAAATTAAAAATATTATTTCTAATATTTTTAATATAATATTGATAAATAATTTGTTAAAATAATATCAAAAAATTTAATAAATTATTTATTAAAATAATCTCATATAATTTAATAAATGAATATAATAAATAAAAATATATAATTTGAGATTATTATAATAAATAATTTATTAAATTATTTGAGATTATTATAATAAAATATTTTATTAAATTATTTATTAAAAAATAATATAATGAAATAATTTTTTTATTTTATTATATTCATTTAAGATTTTTATTAATTTTAATTTATTATTTCATAATAAGTTATTTGATTTATTATTTTATTTATTTTATTTTACTTTACTATTTTTTATACTTTATTATCTTATATTATCTTATTTCTTATTTTATTTTAATAAATAAAAATTTAGTTTAATTTTAATGTACTCTAGTATGATAAATTTTATCTTACTTTATTTTATTTTATTTTTTTCAATTAATATGTATTATTTATTTATTATATTTTAATTGTTATAACTATATCTTATTAATATAGTTAAATAAAATTTACATTATCTTTTAATTTTAAGTTGATTGTTTATAAGATATGTCTATATATATTAAACGCTATTAAATTAGACATACAAGTTGTATTGGTGTAGTGGTAATGTGCCAATTTAAAACCACAAGGGCACAGGTTCAAATCTTAGCTTTGTTTTATTTTTTGAAAAGGTCATGGTTTTATATATTTGCCAAGTTTAAAAGTGATGCATATAATTGCAATTTTCGAAAAGGTCATGGTTTTTATTTACAATTAAGCCTATTTTTTATCCCCATGTCAGCTCCATATCAGCAGCCATGTCAGTGGGAAATTGCCATGCCAGCAGAAAATCTCCACGTCAGCAATAAAATCCCGAAATTGGGCCCGATGCGTACAATTGCAAAAAATTGTAAAAGTGGTGTATATATTTGCCAAGTTTAAAGTGATGCATATAATTGCAATTCTCGAAAAGGTCATTGTTTTGTTTGCAATTAAGCCTATATTATATGTATATGCATGTATACAATATTTAAAGTTAAATAGATAATAATAAGTATATCTATTTTATAAAACTTAACAATTAGTAAAAATGAATAATATTAATATTAAATAATATATATATGAATTACTATATTTAGGACATGGATTGTAATAAATAATATAGTTTTTATAATTTTGATAGATTGTGGCCAACTAATCGACTGAAAATTATTATTATTATTATTATTATTATTATTATTATTATTATTATTATTATTATTATTATTATGTGTTGAAAATGTCCTAAAATCATGTGTAACTGAATAATATTGAGGCAATTGTAACTAAAAATAGGTTGAAATCATGTAAAAATCAGCATTTCCAAAAGAGAAAATAAAAGGTGATTATAGATAGGGAACAATGTTACACTGCATTGATGATTAAAATTAAAAAAAAATACAATTATTATATTCATATAATAAAAAAAATCGAAAAAGCGGAAAGAGTTTTATCAAATTTTTTGCCTACAGATATATATATATATATATATATATATATATATTATTTGTCTATTACGTCTATTACAAGATATATGAGATTCGAACAAAATGAATTAAATTTAGACTAGACTGTATTTTTTTTATCAAATCAATATTATCACTACTTCTGTGCTAATAAATTTGAAACAATATTATCTCGTCATATATTTGTATTTGTTAATAAATTTGAAATCAATAATATGATATGAAGAGTATCGTTATACTGCTAATAAATTTGAAACAATAATATCTCTTTATATATTTGTATTTGTTAATAAATTTGAAATCTAGTATATCTAACTCTCTTATTTAATAAAAAGCAATTTCAAACACTGTAGCTTTTTATTGTTTTTTATTCTTCACGTTGCGTCTCATCTTGCCACAAGAATTTTGAAAGTGTTTTACCTCATTTGCCCTCAATTTCCCTTACTAATATTTTTATATTTATATTTTCATGTGAATGGGCCGAAACTGGGTCATGTCTTGTTTATATTTTCTTTTTCCCGAATCTTCCGTCTTCTCTTATTTTCTCACTTAACCAACCAGGTCGGCCGTACATCCATCCTCACCACCGCAGAATCTTCCGTCTTCCTCTCTTGTTTTGGTCTTAAAATATTAACGGCTTGGCGTGTATTCACTCACTTCGGTGGTGTTTGTTTTTTTACCCTTTCATTTTTCTGAGTACTTTGTAATGGATATTTGGGTTTCAGATTATAAGTTTCTCTCATCTACATTTTTAGTTGTCCTTTGGCTTCTACTGCAGTCTAAAATTGCAGAGAAAAAGAAAAGAATTAAAGAGAAACCATCTAAGACTACAAAAACCAAGGTACATAAACCAACTTATATACAAAATCTTAAAGATATTAAATTACAGAGAATGCATAAAGTATGCCATATTTTGTGGCCTTTGTTATTTAAGATATATTTTTGTTAAATGATAGTTTTTTAGGTTCTCATTGTTGGTTGTTTAATAAAGTTGTCTAAAATTGCATAGTAATTTATGATATTACTGATATTGAACTCAATAAATTTGCTTTTTATTCGATGTCCTTAATTTATTATGTTATTCTTATAGAATCATTGATTTGAAGATGTTTCTGTAGAAACTTTCTTTTCCACATGGATCCCGGTCACTTCCAGCATGCTAATATTGTCTTTAAATGTTGTGCAAAGTTTTTTTTGTATTTTTTTCTTTGTTCGTATTGTTGGAAAATTTTAGGATAAGTGGGTTGCAGCCCTCCGGAGGGTATACGTGGGCTTATTACCATTGTTCGATAGTCACTACCACTTTTGGACTCACTATTGATATCTTATATTNGTGATTGTTTATAAGTTGTACAGTAAATATCCCACTCAAAACTCAAATTTAACTCAACTTTAAATTAACTCCACTATCTTCAATATTATCAATATAATTAAATAATATCAAACAATTATTATTACACATCACATCAACTTTAATTCACTATTCACCCACTCACATAATTTTAACTAACCATCACTTCCAATCATTTTCTCCTACTTTTAC